TGGTGCATTAGTGGCCATTATGACGTTTCAACAGTGGTAGACACTCTCGGGATGACACACTTGGTTTAAGCCTTCCTTGAAGTGCGGGCCACCTCGAACGCTGTCTCTGCACTCTTCACCAGGCAGTTGCTCTCACTGTATCCTGGACGAGCCCCCAATTGTTACCGGCGCCAGCCCTAGGGGAAGCTGGGCAGTAGCAAGTGGCACACAATCAACGTGGTACTGTGTTGCCTAAATGTGGGTGTTCAACTATGGCTGTGGATAAGGAGAGAGGACATGTTAACCAGGCCATAGCTTGTTTAATTCTGAAACATAATCATGACAATCTCACAACATACAGGAAATAATACAGAAACCATAACTGAAATAAATACTAATTAATCCAAAAACCACAATGAGATGAATAACTAAATTCATAAAGTGCAAAAATATAATACATAATTGGCAAAACACAATAATTAAACACATCAAAACGATACAAACCCACATCAATACACTCAATCCTAACACTCTAATCCATGGCATATCTCCCCCCTCTCTTCCTATCTCTACACACACGCACACACAGCGGCCAGCCACATCAAACAAACATCGCCGCCAAATGGCGGGTAAAACATCTACATGAACACTAGCATGGCATGCACCCCGAACCTGAAACTGACTCCCTACATCAACCCAAGACAACTTGAATATTCGTACATGTCACAAAGCACTTTAGACCATTACAATGCCCGACAAATGCTTCAATACACACTTACATACTGAACCATCCACTACTGAACAACGGTGAATTCGCGGTAAAAACAGCACTAATTCAGCAGCACCAAAACACTCTTTAACTAACAACAAGTACTTAAAATAAGCACAGCATGTTCACAATACCTTCACTTCACTCTAGAGTGAGTTAGAACCGCATTTGAGTTTAAAAAAAAAGAAGTCACTTTTATTAACATACCTGTGGATAAGGAGAGAGGACATGTTAATGTACGTCCATTATCCTCTCACTGTGTTCCTGCTATGTCCCATTTTAGGCCAGAGGATGGGGAGATCCACCCTGAGATCTGTAGGCTCTTCATCCAGCTGCAGTGTTGTCTGGAGATGTACATCACTGAGATGCTCAAGTCTGTGTGCTTGCTGGGCTCGCTGCAACTCCACAGGAAAGGTTAGTACACAAATGACAATTATAGCTTTACACTCACTTTTATGAGTTGTCAGCATACTGTTATCAAGCAGCATGTTTTGTTTTTCTTTTTAATGTTTTAGTTCATTTAAAGGAAACAGCCAAGAAAACCTGTCAGATGATTATGATAACATTTTAGCAGATTCAAAAATGTGTGCACAGATGTAATTAGTCATCGACAGCTTTCTGTTATACTTTTTAAATCCAGATTATCATATAAAGACTTCACTATCATTCCTATAATCAGCAACCCGATCAACAAACAATATGCAATTGTATATAAACCAGTACCTAATACTTTTTTAAATGATTTTCCATTGATCATGTGGTCTTTTTTTATTTTCCTCCTCCTTTCCCTTATGTTTAAATGCATGTAATGGTTACACATACTGAAGGCCAGCTGCTCTCTGTGTGCTTTAGGTAAGGATTCCTGTGGCCCTCCTGGTATTGACAGTAAGGCAGAGGAGAGCTCAGACATCCCTATCCTGGAGGACACCTCTTCCTCCCCGATTGACTGCCCTCAGCTGTGCTGGCTGGTGGCCAGTGATATAGAAAACATAGAAAGGTAGGTAGACAAAATGTGTTTAATATGATGTAAACATTTGTACATGCTTATCTTTGTTAGTCAAAGCATGAGTTAGGAACCACGCAAAGTAATATCTTTCCCCCCAGTTTTTGTCTGTAAAGATCAAAAATGCATTAACATTTTACTCTATAACTTTGATTCTGATATTTACATTATTCTTTTAAGCTTCACAGATATTTAGTTAATATTTTATTTAATTGTACAACAGTCAAATTTCCATTGAGTTATGCCAGCCTAAATTATTCACTTGGCAGAGCAGGCAAAAATGTAAAGTTATAATTATTTGCTACTTTTATAAAATTACAAAATCAAATATTAAAATTTTATAGTTTCTAGTTCTTATTTGGAATGTTGCACCTAGTTTCATACTTGCACACTGCCTGGAAATACTTCATGTACTGAGGTGGCATCTAGTAGCCATGAGCATATATTGTATTAGATGCTGAAATTTAACATGAATACATGTTATTTTGCAAAATACAGAATATTTTAAATGACGATGTAAAAAATATATCATGTAAGAATTTGTTGTGGCTCTGAATGAGGGGATGTGGTTGTATGCAAGTGTTGGGGAGATATACGACATGACAGACACTACAGGAACACTACACAAATGACCCTGCTTGTGTTTTTGCAGGGATATGAGAGAGATGAAGAACCTTCTCAGTAAACTCAGGGAGACAATGCCATTACCACTGAAGAACCAAGGTGAAACAGAAACCAAACACTTTAGCTTCACCCTCTTTACACATAGTCTCAACCCCACAGAGCAGTGACACTTTCAAAATCTCTTACAGTCAAAAAATATATACAGTATAGCAGACTCATTAGGATAAGGAGTGGGCTGTGGCCTGAAAAACACTCTCATAGCTAAAACTAGCAAAACTGTCTGACTTGGCACTGTTGTTTGTGTGTTCCTGTGCCCAGATGACAGCAGTTTGCTGAACCTGACTCCCTACCCACTGGTCCGACAGAGGAAGAGGCGGTTCTTTGGACTCTGTTGCCTGGTAACCAGCTAAAGGCCCCACCTTTGTGGGTAGGAGGCAGCAACAAAGACACCATTACCCACTGTCCCTCACCACTTGTGTCTCCCACCAATCTATTACTGCCATTTTCAAATGAATTGTCTCTTTCTCTTTTTTTTTTAGAGGCTGCCCATTTTATAATTTTATTTTGTAATACAAAGAAGAATTGTAACTGCAATGTAATGAAAACAGAAGTCATGAACATATATTTTAAGATATTTTGCAGCAGATGTTCCCTTTATTGGTAAGTGGAATCAGATATCTGCCTATCCAAAGTAAAAAAAGAATGAGAGGTCATTTGAAATATTGTCAATATTCAGCTACTTCCATAAGCCTGAGTGAATGAAATGAGGATTCATATTTTAAAAAGGGAATTTAATTGTCTGTTTTTGTCTGAATTAATGTGATAACTTATGAACAGACACCATCTGAATATTTGAGAATGGTACTTACAAAGACAGAGTTATATTTTTGTCTGTCAAAGGTGACATAGCAGGTTTAAGGAAGCAGGCCTGTAGGTTTCCTGTGTATTACAGTCTCTGTTTAGTTTCTTGCTGTTTTTAGTTCTTAATATACTTAATTTAGTCTTCCATAAACCACGAATCTGAACCCAACTTTAACTTCTCAGCTTCAAAATGAAATATATCACACAATACTCAAACAGATCTCTCCTTTGCACAAAATATCTATCATTAAATTGAGACATTAGACATGTATATAGGCATACTCTACGCAATGCTCTCTGAATTATTTTCAAAGATGGAGTTTGTTAGCAAAGAATGTTGGTTGGTGTTAGCAGGGAGGGTCTCCCTCTGTCTCAGGCAATCAGTGCAGACAGTGGGCAGGCAGCTCGGGTCGTGCTTATTAAACATAACGATCAGTGTTTAGGACACAGTAAAGAAACACTAGTCAAAGCTGATATAGTCATTTTACATTGTTAATAAAACTTTTGTTATTGAAACTATGTCTGAGATTTTCTTACATGGGTGGCATGGTGGTGAAGTGATTAGCGCTGTTGCCTCACAGCAAGAAGGTTCCAGGTTTGAGTCTCAGCCGACCCAGTGTCTTTCTGTGTGGAGTTTGCATGTTCTCAAGATATGCAGCTTAGGTTGATTGGCATGTAGGAGTGAATGTGGGTGTGTGAGGTTGTCTGTCTCTAAATGTCAGCCCTGTGATAGACCTGCGACCTGTCCAGGGTGTAACCCCACCTCTCGCCCAATGCCAGGTGGGAGTGATTCCAGCCCCCCTGTGGCCCTCGTTAATATAAGCGGTATAGATAATGGATGGATGTGCTTACATGTAAACTTCTAAAATGACCACCAGGGGGAGACAAACTACTATGGTGTTTGGCATCTGTAGTGAAATGGCAAGAGAACAAGAAAGATTAAACCACTAGACCTTGGACAGTATACATCTGGCTGCCAACTTTTGATGAGTGAATAAAATATATAAAACTCTATACATTCAAGCTCTAGATTCATTTAGACAAATTTAAACTATTAGACAGCTATTGGATATTTTGGATCATTGTGTCAGACAGGACTTTTCACCACCATTATCAAAACACCAAATGAGGAAACAGTTTTTGAAAAAATAGTGTTTATCCCTCCTGTAGAGTTCCAGACACTTGGAAATTCTATGGTGTAATAAAAGGTGCAATAAAACAATTTTTGCAGTATTTGGTGGACAAGCACAATATTGTTTCTCCTTTCTATTATGTTTGATATACTTTTTAAATTTCCTTGGCATTAATGAGGTTTACAGTTCATGCCTGCCTGTACTGTATGTGTCTGAAGATTCTGTGTCTGTACGTCTCTCAGACAACAAACCTCTCTATGTCAGTTTGTGTGTATATCATTGCTTTAAGAATACCAGCGATGTGTGATAGCGTCTGAGAATTTCTAACACCTTCCTCTCACTCACCAGCCATTATGGGCAACATGATTGAGCTGAGGGATGCACATCTGCCAACAATATGCATTTTGGTGTGAAGGGGAGACATGCAGTAGCTGGTGTCTTCACACGATTTCACAGGCAGGGTTACACACCCACACACCCACACACCGACACACACAAACACAACCACCACAAGAGTGCAGCAAGCCTGAGGCGTGAGTAGACTGTCAGCAGGGGTTTGCTTGGCAGGCTGAGCCATGTCTGATTTAGTAAGCAGAGGACATCTTTTGAAATAGACCATCTTAGTCTAAAACACAAATTTTTAAACATGATCTTGAGGGACATATATAAAACTCTTTTCCTCAAAACCAAGGCCTACTTTTTGCATTCTATTGTACAGGCAACCCAAAATAACATTTTCAGGAATCAAGGTGCCCTGGAAAGGCAACAGCAACACAATCTATAGTATTCTGTGTCTTTTCTTTACTTGTAATTATTTTGTTGGGACATACTGTATTTTGCATATAAATATGGATTGTTTGCACCCAGTTATTTGAACCAAAAATTGTAATAATGAAGAGAAATTAAACCTCACTAGTGTTCCGCTCTTTAATCCTGGTCTTATCAAAGTTACATACAATGTTATGTTTTTATACATGCAAAAAATACGCCTTTACAGTGTGCTAAGTAGTGGCACCACTATGGAATATTTAAGAGAGGATTAATGTATAATGGAAAGTGAAGATGTGAAGTCATAAGGTCAGCCCTCCTCCTGGATCCTTAGGAAGTGCAAGGCAAGATGCTGACAACTGACACCTTTTCTCCTTGACATCGCTTTAGTCCGGCTTCACACTCGCTCATGGTATGTGTGGTTCCATTCTCCCCAAATTGGACACACACATTTACTCCTGGAGTGGAGCAATCTGCTGAGTCCTTACAGCGACATGTGATAGTTTGATCTGTAAGAATGGCATGAAGACGAGCGAGGTGAATGACTACAAACCGCAAATACAGTGCATAATTATTTTTTGTATCCACTTATTTGAACCATGAGTGTCCCTACCATCACAGGTCTCCCACATGTGGCAGTCGGTGCAACCTGTTGTTTTGCGCTGTGGCCACTTGCAGGTGCTGTCCTCAGCTATCGCCTGGCTCTTTCCCATGCACTGCAGTGTGTGCATTTTGCACACATTCAGAAGGACTGATTTTCCACTCCTAGGATTAGTGGCACACAACTCCAGTGATGAACTGGACACACACACACACAAATTATCAGCACAAGAACAAGAAAATCAGTCAAATCTGTATAAATTTCAAAAAGTCACGTCACTAAATTGAAGATTAGTAGCGTAAACATACCTGCACTCAAAAGGCATTTTGCAAACACATGTTCCTCTGGCAGACTTCTCCCATGGTTTACATTGCACCGAGGGAACGGTGGGTTGTTGTGGTGTTTGGACTGTGAGATACACACATATCATTCTTCCATACTGCTACAGTAACTGACTAACTGCATGCAGTTATAAAATATATTTGAAACAACAAAGCATCAGAATAAATAGTATAGTTTACTTCAGTGAAAAATCTTGTACCACAACAGTCCAAAATGATCAATGAGACTATTTATATGAACCTTGAAGTAACATTTGTAGTACCTGGGCTGCATTTGATATTTGCTGGGTCTGGTGAAAAATTCAAACTGGGGTCACATATAATCGTTGCTTCTCCTAACAGCCATCTACCCTCTGGACAAGAGAGGCCAACAGACTCTCCTATCCCATAAGCCTGCTTTAAAGGAGAGGCTATGATGTCATCAGTGAGGGATCCAATTTTGCACTCTGAGGCTGGGATAAAAAAAAAAAAAAAAAAAGTTGGACTTTACCAAAGTCACTCTGCAATTCTTTATGATTGTAAGTGTTTAATCATAGGCATTCACCTGTGCACAGTCCAGGGTTGGCAGACCAGGTTTGATCAGCAGTGCATTCCAGAGTGGTGTGACCAACAAGATGAAAACCTTCAGTGCACGTGTATTCAACCTTATTGCCCACAAGGTAAATGTCCTTAGGGTCCTGTGAAGCATGTGGTAAAAAAAAAAAAAAGATTAGGTTTCAGTTTTCAGTTCTGCCCTTTGTACAAAACCCTTGAAAAGGGACAAAAATAAAATGACTGACATATAAATAATAAAGGCCCATTTCACCTTAAAGGAAACAAACAATTTCATAGCCCATGTTTAGAACCCTCATTATTCATTCATTCATTCATTTTCCTCCGCTTATCCGGAACCGGGTTGCGGGGGCAGCAGTCTAAGCAAAGATGCCCAGACTTCCCTCTCTCCAGACACTTCCTCCAGCTCATCCGGGGGAATGCCAAGGCGTTCCCAGGCCAGCCGAGAGACATAGTCCCTCCAGCATGTCCTGGGCCTCCTCCCGGTAGGACATGCCCGGAACACCTCCCTCATTATGCAATATATAATTTTAAAGTTCTCAGTGTGAATACATTTGGATGAATCTTTACCAGGATGTAGCCATTGATTAGAGAAGGTGGAGTTGCACATTTCTGACTTGCTGGGAGAGTGTAGTCAAAGCACTGAGGCTCCATGGTTCTGTAGAGGAAAAGTTAAAAAATAGGATGTTGTATGATCAACTTCAGTGTGAAACCTACTCTTAGTGGAACTGCACTGAATTGACTAGCTGTGCTTGTTATAAAAAAGTTTCAAATTCACGCCTTAAGTATTGCAGCTCTTGGTCTTCACAGTCAGATGTCTCGGTGGTTTCTCCTATACAGGGCTGTCCTCCATTCTGAGGAGAGGGATTAGAGCAGGAACGGTGTCGTGAGCTCTGACCCCTAGAACATGATGACCAGGCAGACCAGCAGGACCATCTACCATGGATCACACCTTAGATTAGAGGAATAAATGAGAGAGAGAAAGTGAGAACAATATCACAGTCTGTGTGATATTATTCAACAAAGAGTGAATCACTGTACTGTTAAGCCTATTAAAAACAAAACATCATATGCCACTATTAGAACACACACCCACCACACAGACAAGTAACTTAGGGGGATTTCATTAAGACAATTTATCGTTTCATATAAATGCTCACAAAGTTTAATAAAATAAACATGTAGACCTACACAGGAGAAAAGCAAATAAGAATGTTTCCCAAAATGCCAAATACTGACTGCAGTAGTAGAGAACCTATGTGAAAGGTGACACCAACCCTGCTGACCCTCTGGATCAGTTCCCTGCTCACAGGCCAGTCCAGATGTGCCAGGCTTACAGATGCATTTGCATTCATATCCGTCCATAACAGCCATGCCATTGTTGCTGCAGGGCCGGCAGTGGCAAGGGTGGCTCTCGGCCACATACTGCTCTATGGCTCTGCGAAGGTAGAGCTTCTTCACCCCAGCACACTGAACCTCCTTCACCAGCTCCCACAGTGGCCGGAGCTGCCAAAACAAGAGTTGTGTTAAGAGTCACACTGAAGAGAGATTATATTTTTGTATTATATGTATCGTTGTATTATTTGATAAGATGACAAACCAAAATGCACATAAAGTACCTTTTGTTTTGTGACCTTAGGAAATGATCTAATAGACTCAGCCCAGTTTGAATATATTTCCCAGTTCTTTTCAGGATTATTGAGCTGCATGGTCTTCACTGCTGCAATGTGTTGGATGTCTCCTCCCTCCACATCCACTTTTTTCACCTGATTGGTCCGGGCATTACCTTTTTAAAAACGTTCCAAGAATTGATTAGGGACAAAGCTACAGCGATTTCTAGTGCTTTTATACATTCTAGTATGTAGTAGTATGTATACAATGAACATCAAATTGTACTTCCGGATGATGTGTGTTGATGATGACCACTCTTGCAGTTCACAATGGTGAGGGGGAAAAAAAGAATCCAGCGTTTGGTCCTTTCACATTCTTGATAATGATGAGTTACAGTGACTTGAGAAAGCCAAAGGGAAAAACTAAAGTTAGTGAGGCAGCGCTTTATGAACGGTTTAGCAACTACAGTTTCATTGACATTCTGAACATTTAAATCCAGTGTTTGACAATTCGTAGACATGTCAAAAATGATTTGATACTACATTTAAAAGTAAGTGATTTTGACTGACTTTAGCTGCTAATGATATTTGATTTTCTTACCCATCCATTTTTCAGTTTCTTCATCAATCCAACTGATGATTTTTAAAAACCCTCCCAGACTTCCCTCAGACAGGTAGTGTGTTCCAAACCTCTCCAAAACCTTCCTGTAGGCGGAGTAGTCGTACACAGATGGGAGCTTGTCCAGTGCCTTCCACAGCTCCTCAGATATTGGGAGGTATTGAGGAGAGTTACTCTGGAACTGAGCTACCTCTATGTCATTCTTTAAGACCAAAAGCTTGTATGTCTGTAAGGAGAAAAAAAAAAATCATTAGGTAAGTTTATTTTCTTTTTCAAAATCAAAATCAAATCAAATCAAATTTTATTTGTATAGTCATCTCAGGACACTTTACAAAGTAAGGTCTAGACCTTACTGTTATCAATATTATTACATAGGGATCATGGGGCCCCCCAGCAGCCTAGGCCTATAGCAGCATAACTAAGGGAGGGCTCAGGGTCACCTGATCCAGCCCTAACCATAAGCTTTATCAAAAAGGAACGTCTTAAGTCTAATCTTAAAGGTAGAGAGGGTGTCCGCCTCCCGAACTGAGACTGGGAGTTGGTTCCATAGGAGAGGAGCTTGGTAGCTAAAGGCTCTGCCTCCCATTCTGCTTCTGTGGATTCTAGGAACCACAAGTAAACCTGCACTGTGAGAGCGAAGTGCTCTGTTAGGATGATAAGGCTCTACGAGGTCTTTAAGATACGATGGAGCCTTGTCATTAAGGGCTGGTGCTAGTTGTTAAAGATGCAGTAACAAAATATCAGGTTCCTACAGACCTGAGTCTTGTCAGTTGTCTCATGAAAGTCATAGTTGTTATATCCTGTTGTTGTCCCAGACACTGTCTCTCTTTTGACCGTGTCCTTAGCGTAGTGCCATTTACTGGTGTACATTTCATCACTGAAGTCATTCTGAGCTGTAACCTGTAAACAAAGGTTCAACATTGTCTGGTAAGTCACAAAATTAGCTCTAAATGAACTGTTAATAAAATTTAATAAATATGCAAAAAAAAAAAAAAAACACTGTCTTTAAAGGTAGCCACTAATGGTAATGTAGAGTAATTGCTAAATTTCCAGTATTTACATGATTAATATCAATATTAATATTATTTGTTTCCAGAGTGACCAACCATAAAACTGTACTGGATGGTACTAAGAGGCAGTCGGTAGCGAGCGTTGTGGACCCCACTGTAGATAACACGGCACTGGCCCCCAAAGCTCTTTGTGTTGATGACACTGCCCCTCCATTTTCCTGTAACCACATCAAACCTACAGAAGCAATAAAAGGATCCTAATAGTAAGCAGAAGTTATGTGCTCATGCATATATGCATGGGTACACAAATACAAATAGAGCTATGTCAAGATTTTTCACTTACCCAAGTCCTAGGAGGTCAGTGTTAGGTGGGAGAACTGATTCTTGACATACAATGTGTTTTTGAGCATCACAGAGACGTTCGTCGTGTCCATCTTCCTCACAGTCCTGATCTCCGTTACACACCAGGGTCTGGCTAATACACTGGCCTGAGAATCAAAAAACAGACAGCTCAGTGACTGATAATTAAATTCATTACAATTACAGGTGTGAACACAGGTTTATCTCTAACCTGAACGACAGCGAAACCTGCGTCCACATCCATCGTCTATAGGGCAGCCTTTTGTGGTTTTACAGGACCTCGTCTCCGTTCGCTCTCCATAGCAGGGGTTGCCTCCAAACTGAGCATAGACAGCCATGGCTCGGCTTCTTGTCTGTAACATACCGCAATGTGACAAAGAAATATACTGTAAAACTAGTTGTACTAAACTTTAGAAATAGCTTCATTTTTTTTTAAATAAACAGAATCTTAAGCAGTTTTGCTGGTATATAATTTATCATCTCTTTAAAAAGTATTACATTTTATCTATGTAAGTAAACTATTATCTAAATTAAATGACCTTGTCAGTGCTACAGCTGGTTTCATTTCAGCCAAGATTTCATAAATGAGAAACAAGTCAACTAAAATGTTTTGATGAAAAAAAAAATCCTCTTAACCTGCAGTTTGGTGCAACCATCACACTCTGTCCAGTCACCAAAAGGCCCCCACATGCAATGAACTCTCTGGTCACAAAACCTTAGAAATTCCATGTACATCAAATATTTCAATAAATGAAAACAATAATTGCATATTTTTATACGTTATTATGCCTTCAATGTTGAAACAGTAAAGCAAACACAGATTTACCCTTTGGGAGTAAACAGGAATAGCAACCATGGCAGGAGTGCTAAAAAGAGTTGCGTAATGTTCTGAAGAAGTAAAGAAGAGCAGACACAAGGAGAGAAAAAGAGAGAGGATAGAGGAAAGAAACAAGATGAGTGAACTATAATAAAAACACATGCTGTAACTGACACACAAATTAAATAAAAAGTTAAAATATTCTCACTAAATCTGACCTTTATTGTAAAGTGCTGCATAGGTTTTTTTGTGTGATCTCCCTGATACTGATTATAAAATGTACTTGCCTTCATGGTGAGCGAAGAGCAGCAAACAGTCTGGAGAGGCTTAGTTAGTGAGTCAGACTCTTGGAACGACATCCCATGAAGCTTATCGGGTTTCATGAGGGAAAAGTTGTTTTTCTGTGTGTGTTTGTGTGTGCGTCTGGTATTAATCACTTTACAGGGGCCAAAACCTGTTCACACACTCACATTGTGGAGAGTTGACCTTTCTTGTGGGAACCAGATGCAGTAAATCAGATGAACATAACTCATTAAATTTTAGGGTGATGACTTGGTTTGAGGTTAAGCTGAAGTTAAGGTTAAGATAAGTCTCCAAGACATGAATATAAGTTGATGTAAAGTCCCCACAAAGAATGAAAATAAATGTACAGGCATGCTTCTGTGCATGCATGTGTGTCTGTTTGGACAAGAGGAAAGAAAATATTTAGGTGGAAATTCCTGACAAAACCCCCTTCCTCCAGAGGATCATTCTGAAAGTAAAAGCAATGATTCCTCTTGGAGTGAGGATCTCTGTCTGCTTCTTCTGACTGTCTGATAGCCTGTTCTCACAGCAGACATTCTCAGCTGTTGTAGAGGTGAAACTAGCAGCTCTAATTAGTGCTGTGTTCCATTTAGATGCGCCAGAAATGAAGTAAGATATTATGCATGATACGAAGACCCTGTGAAACATCTACAGTAATAGACCTTTTTCCATGGAAGACAATGTGTTGAACCACAGTAGGAGAAGCACATCAAATTAATCATGGCTCAAGTCCACTGGCTGCTTCAGTGTCACAATTCTTTTTCAGTAACACATAGTAAAAGTAAAAACTATTTGTTTTGTGTAAATGACTACTGTCATTTTTTTTACTTGTTCAGCAAAGAATTTGCTGCACGTGAAAGTGGATATGAACGAACACTAACAATGTCACAAAATGAAAGCAAAATACCGAGATGTGATTTAGTGTAGGAAACACTGGAGGGCAATAGAGATATGAGAACCATTTCCTCTTCGTGACCAAAATGTAGTTCAAGGCTGAGCAAATTCCTTGATATACACAATAGTTTACAAGACTTTTGAAGAAAACTGCCACAGTGCCCTCTGGTTTATAGCAAATGATCTATTGGGGCATTATTAAAGGCAAAAGAGATGCTGGATAATGAAGTCCGTGACAGTCATCTGTGTATCTGCAAGGAGATACAGAGAGGTGGCAAATGAAAGGAAAACCCAACATAAAGTGTCTTAGTAAGGTGTTAGGCTATCGCATGACACCAGAACAGCTTCAGTGCACCTCGGCATTGATTCTACAAGTCTCTGAACTTTACTGAAGGGGTGAGCACTATTCTTCCAAAAAATATTCCCTGTCAGCACTATTCTTCCAAAAAATATTCCCTCATTTGGTGTTTTGACTATGGTGGTGGAGACACTGTCTAACACAATCTCCCACGGGTGTTCAACTGGATTGAGTTGTGGTGACTGTGAAGGCCATAACATATAATTCACATGATTTTATTACCCATTAAACCATTCAGTGACCCCTCATGATCTATGGATGGGGGCATTGCCATCCTGAAGAGATTACTCCTAGGACTGGATAGAACAGATTCATCATAGGATAAAGGTGATCACTCAGTGCAGTGCCTGCTACCTCTAAGGGCACAAGTGGATCCAAACCATGCCAGCATCTGCATTAGTCAATCATTTATTCAGGGTTTTCCTTTCATTTGTCACTCTTCTGCATCTCTTGCAGTCAAACCTGAAATTCTCCATTTAATGAGAAGGTGTTCCCATACTATATGTGTATGTGAAACCCACATCTCTGTCTAATTATGGATATATATTTGCTGTCACAGGCAGATAGGGGGCTATTCTGTGCAGATCCATCACATACTGGCAGCTCAAGAGGGAATATAGCTGAGTGTGTCAGAAGAAGTGGTTTTTAGCAATTGTAGGACAGGCGAGGCCTCATTTGTGAGCATTGATCACTGCTACCTATCATTCTAGAAATAAGCAAGAGACAATTTTGTTCGGCCTACAAATTTAGTATGACAAATTAATGTACAGCTCAATTTGAAATGAGTTGCACAAGACAGAAAAGGCTACTTTTGCTACCCTGGCAGTTATGTTTTGGAAATGAGAAAACATTTTATGGTTCCAAACCAAAAGCTGAAGCTTAAAATTGTGAACATTTGAAAACACAAGCTCAAACGTCGCTGCCTCCTATGTGAAGTTCCTGGAGTCAGCAGGAGCCAGGGTTGTCCCTGTCATGTGAGTCTTCATGTTGATTACCTGGCTACATTCATACTTGTTCAACTTGTTCATACTCATTGACATACATGACAGGGTCAGGTGGTTGGACCCCAGTTCTACCACATTATTTCTTGTTGCGTAGTTTTGCAGTTTCTTTCATTACAACATACAAAAGCAGCACAGACCTCTTTCTACTCTGTGAAGTGGCCAGAACTTCTCCTGTGGTAGTGATGGAAGAGAAAACAAGAAAATAATCTTGATGTATTTGAAACAATAGACTCAAATGTCATGACAAATACATCAGATGGGCATGGAGTGATAAAGAGTTGTGTTAATATGTGTTCTCATGTTTTCTACATTGTCTTTTTGTTCTACCTCCTGTGCCACAAATGTAAATGGTCTTATATTTGTTGGTCTTATACTTGGTAACCAATGTAAGAAGTCTACTGAAATAGATATTAGGGCTGCATAATAAATCATTTTGTGAGTGTGATCCTTGTGCAATCTCATTAACCAATAGCAGAAGTAAAAGTTCTAAATATGTGTTCATGTAGCAGCTGGATAGCTCGGTGCTTACCACTACTGACTAGGCTGGGGTTCGATTCTCTGTCAAGGGCAAGATATATCATTTTGTGGGTGTGATTTAGATCCTTGTGCAATCTCATTAACCAATAGCAGAAGCCATTAAAAGTTCTAAAGACATATTCCTCTAGCAGCTGGGTAGCTTGATGGTTAACACCAGGTTCAGTTCTCTGTCAGGTCACGATAAACCCTTTTGCTAAGCTGCGTTAACCAATACCAGAAGCCAGTGAAAGTTCCAAACATTGTTCCTGTACCGGAGCTGAATAGTTCGGTGGGTAACACCACTGACTATGGTACAGCAGGTCGGGGATCAGTTCAGAGAAGACAGAGATAGGAGGGGAAGTACAAACCTTTTCTACACATGCTCAAGACCTTTTCACAAGCCAAAATCTTTGTGACCCTGTATTGAGTCCATACATGGCGGGCTGAAATATGGGCCTTCTATCTGGCAATACACAGCAGTAGATTGTACTTCATTATTGCATTGTGCATTTATGTACATGTAACATGCAACATCTGTCACCTACAGAATATTTTGCAAAACTGAAACAAAGCTTATTTGACCACAGTGTCACCTTATACATATTCTAAACAAATATAAGTTGTGCATATTTGGGTGAGGTAATTCATTAAAAAATGACTTCCTGTATTTCTGAAATTACCACACAGTGCTGAATGACTCAATTACTATATAGCAACAAGACAAGTCCCAGCACCTCAGGCTAGAATACCACTTGGCTCAGACAACAGGCCACCAGACCAAGGCTTCCATTAGTGCCACTTTTGTGGGTTTCATGATGTTCAGAGGGCCATCTCTGACCGCCATCTGCCCAGGAAGTTTGGTCTGCCAGAGAGTGACAGTCTTTGAGAATTGGACAGAGACAGACTCAGTCAGTGAATATGCAGCTTTAGTATGTGCTTACTGTCCTCCAGAATAAACAATCCACCACATTCCAACAAGGTTGTTTATGGCATTAAAGTGATGTGTCTTCTAGTGGCTAAAATGTATACTGTGTGTAACTCAATCATCCCTGTTTGGTTTGCTTGTGGTCCTTTGTTGCATGCTATGCCCATGTCTACTAGCTGTCAATCAAGGTGGGGAATTATTGTGAAATTTAAAATATGAAATTAAAATTTTGAAATACTGAAAAATTTAATTCTTCAGACATCTGAAATTAAAGGAAACTGTTTCAGATATGTTCCTTTAAGCCACAATATGAATTCTGTGATGCGAATCACAGGTTGTTTCACATAAAGGATCACAAGCCAAAAGGGTTGGAAATCGCTCACATATAGGCCAAATAAATGACTGTGATACACTTTGTCATTAACAGGTCTGCCCATTTTAATCCAAAGGAGAAATAATACTAAGGTTATACCTAGAGTAATTCAGAGTTTAACAGTAACACAAAGCAGCGATGATCTGTGATGAATAAGGTCATAAACCACCGGTGGCCAGTTCGGACAGATGGCTCTCTCAGGCAGAATGACATTCTCTCTCTTTCTGTCTCCTTGCTGTGAGTGTTGCTTGCTGCATCTCTTTGGCCATTTGCTGTTTTCATGTATGAATGACTAAAGGAGTCATTACAATTCCCACAGTTTCTCATCTGTTCCTGATAATGACTCCATATTTGTTGCCTTTTAATAAATACTAATCTCAGCCTCATTTTCTTTCATCTTTATGAGGAATAATAATGCCAGGTCTCTTGGCAAATTGTTGATTTTTTTATGTCTCCCTCACTGAAATATTGTAGTTTGTATTGTAGCTTCTAATGGCAGACAAATTGCCATCCTACACCATGTACCTTCATAACTAGACAAAGGAGTGGTTGGTGAAATTAATCTTCCTCCTCCTCACACGCCAAACTTTTCTGAACCTGTTTCTTGCTGCTGCCCCTCTTTAAACTGTCTGAATGCCATCATCCATCTCTACCTCCTACACCTCTACATCCTCCTCAAGTGTTTGCCTGGGTGTGCGTGTGGCAGAGAAAAACAGACAGACACAACCATACAATAATAGAACTGCATTTACATTTTAGAATTTCTTCAGCAGACGACTGTTTCAGTTAATAAAAAACATATATTAGTACCTTTTCTTTCACTTTTCACCCTTTCACAAAGCATTATTCATGATCAGTAGTCCATTAGTCCATTAATATGCCACACGAAACAAATAAAAAACCACAGGAGTAGAACACCAAATATTCCTCGCATGAAAAAGAAGGTGACTTTTCCTTCTCCCGACTATTTTGATGTGCAATCAAAACACTTAATACTCATACAGTCGAGATGAGGTTAGCACCACAATGCTGCTGTTGTACCTAGACTTCTCAAGGGAATAATGTGTGCATGTGCATAATAGCTGAATACGCAAGTTTGCTCAATCAGTTAACCTTTATTAAAAATTGATTGAAAATATGAACTGATGATTCAACTTGATTACTTGATTATTTGATGCAGTGATTAGTTATCAAACAGCTACATGCTTAAATTACCTCAGTCACATGACAGAATGTCAGAATACTTTTATTTTAACAGGTAAAGACCTCAAAGCTACAGTAAAATGCACACAAAATCGCACACAGTGAACCATTCAGTATCTAAGCCATCTCTGCTTTCTCTTCATGAGCAACACCTGTGCACAGAATGGCAGATGCTGAATTACAAAACACAGTCCCAGCAAGGTCACCCTGGGTGCTGCTGCCCACCCACCTCCATCCTCATCACCCTGGAAACTGGATGATTTTAGGATGTTTCTAGGCACAGATAGGGAATAAAATACTGCTATGCTGGCTTAAAAGCTGCAAATGTACTTTATATTTAGAGGACTGTCATTTGTTGATTGCATTCATTTACAATTTTATTATAACGGCTTTAATAATGACTTTTTAAATTAAGCAACTAACCGAGCAAACAAACGATTAGCGCTCAATTAACCAGAAACTGGTCAGGAATTGACACTTCATTTAGTCATTTAATAGGCATAGAAGCTTTATTTGATCAACCATTTTCCACTTAGAACAGAGTCACCTTCATTTGAACGAAGGCTTTTTAAGTTTTACAATAGCAAGGGACTGTTTTCACACCAGTACATAGAGGCAATGACAACAGTTTGGACTAGGGAAGACACAAAGGTCAAATGCAAAACAATTTTGCAAGCCTTTCAAGTGTGTTTTCATTTACGTGTGTTCATTATTAATCTGTATGGGGTAGTAGCAGTGGAACATTTAAAAAAGAAATGAATTTAGAGATTTGTCTTAAAGGGTACAAACATTTTCTGCTGAGATGCTGAGATGCACCCATGCTCTTAAGAACAATATTCAGAAAATAACAGAGGTTATGCACAAACGTCATGGAAACCTGTTGGTGTAAAACAAAAAGTACATGTAATGTAGAAGTTTTTGGTTCATGCATAAAGGTGACGCACTAAATAAATGTGAAAAACAAGAAGCAGTGTGAGAGTTTGTTTAAGGTATAAGTTAAGAAATTGTTGTCAGTGACTTCATAATAATTTAAATAATTTACAATTTTTCGGCAGTACAATATTTGCAGTTATAATATGTACAAACTTTCCACAATATAAAACATTTTAACATGAAACCACACTGAAGTCAAAGAAGTACTGTTTGAACTCTAAAACTTGAACTCATTTTCACACTGAAGCATACGACACAAACATGACTTTCTAGCTGATACTCAGTCAATCACATGAAACTTTTAGAAATGGCACAGTTACTCACAAGACACACACATTCACAAATCCTAAGAGTTGAGTTTCCTGTTTGTGGCTTTACATCACTAGACAACAATGTCCTTTACATATTACATTCTCTGCAGAAGATGCCACACTGTTCATGAACTGTGTGGACTAGACTGTGACTGTTTTCATGCATAATGTGTAAAACCTTGCAGTAAACTTATTTCCATTGTCTTTGTGGGTGTCATTTCAATGTACTTTTCCATTTAACATTGCACAGTAAAGAATGAAATGCCTTAAACATACAGAAAATATGAGCGTGCTAAATGTATTGCACCATTGTTATAGCAGAAATTCAGCGATTCAGTTACATGAAACACCTAATAAAGTGGACACCAAAGAGCTACAGCTATATCTTAACTAAACATTTATTGTATTATTATGACTGTTGACACATCAAGACCCCCGACTGTGATTTATGATGTTCTTTTCTTTCTTGAAATAAAACCGAGGGTTAGGCAACTTTATCAGCTTATAAACGACAAAATACTGTGAAACAACTCATGACTCATATATACTGCACTACAGCAGTAAGTATAGACGCACATACAGGGGCCAAGTATCCAGCAGAGGAATCACAGATGGTGGACACACTCTAGTACCCAGATATACTGTATTTTTATACTTGGCTATCACGACTCAGCACCCACCACAAAATCCAATAAATTTGTCACACTGGATTCCCAACTATTAGAAATGACTAGTAGCATCGATTGCATTTCTTGCTCTCCTAAACAAATGATTTTTCTGTAATTCTGTCCCTAGCAGCGACAGACAGTGCTTGTTTTGAAATTTTAAATGCACTGACAATGCGAACATTATTTTTTAGTGTAGATGAACAAAAGATTAAGTACACATTAGTCAAGCTACACAGAAACTGCACAGGTCTGATCAATCTCTGGGCTGCAAGATGAGGTCAGTCAAGAGGGAGAAAACGCCTTGAGACTACTGCTCCACATCAAAATGGAAAATGTCAGTTTTTTTGTAATGAAGAAAGACATTGTAATAACACCTTTTAAGTATACTCTGCATTCAAGCTACTGGAGGTGTTTTCAGACACACCTACTGTGATGTGATCCAGGATGCATATTGTTGGAAAAACAATAAATAAATATTCTGTTGGGCAGATTCTTCAAACAAGATAAATGACTGCTAGCTACTTACACATGACTAGAATTTGAGTGGTTTAAGTTACACAGACCTATTTAAAACAACCTCTGGAAAAGCTGTCACTGTCACTAGAATATTAAGAATGACCTACCAATACATTTAGCAGAAAGTTGATATGCTCTGAGGGGACTACCTTTGATGAAGCGGTACGCCTAGAAACAGTGCATTAGATCTGTGGAAAAAGCAGTTCTTTTTACAGCACAGGAAGTAAAGAAAACTAACATCTCTCTTGAAAAAAAAAACACCTTGATGCCCCCAAAACAGGAAACAAAACCTTTTTCGCTTAGTTCTCCAACTAAACACCAACGTTTGTTTCTCAACTTTCTTTTCCATTTGAGCTCTCGATTCACTATAGCCCTAAATAAAGCGAAAGGAGCGGTGTAACTCCCCTCCTGAAATAAATGCCAAAGAGAAAAAATGAGAGCACAGACCCAGTCACTGGCAGCAGCGGTGGGGACTGTGCTCCCTGATACCCCCTGCAGGCTCTCAGGTAGCGTCATCGTCATCCTCATCCAGGTGATAGTTGAGGGTGATGACAGCACTGATGAATTCTCCGAGCTCCACAAAGTCAGCTGTGATAATGTTGATGCCGCTCTCCCCGGGTCTCTGTGATCTGATCCACTGCATCATGCCGGGTAAGGCCCTGGGTGGACCCGCAGAAAAAAGAAACACATATTAGGGAAATAAGCATGAGGGGGAGATAAATTCACAGAAGACAGAAAGGGATAGAAAAAGGGATGATTCATGCTTGGTTGGTTTAACACACTGGGGCAGAAAATCTCTGTGATGCACCATGGGATGTCAGCAAGTCAGATGCCAGCTGCGAGGATGACACTCTGAACACTTGCTGGACATGTTCATGTGAGCTGAGCACAGGGAGGGGGTGGGATTACTCCTGCAGATGCCTTATCAGGTTTTCTGCACAACAACAATGTTGTCTCCTCCTCACTCTTGCCTTCTTGTTCTGCTGAGTCCTACACTGGCCGACTATGGCAAAACGAATGGATAGAATTTTGAAGGCTGCCTACATCAACGTAACCAAATGCCTGGCAAGAATAGTTGATAGAGGAGTTATCATATGCATAATTCATACCAGTAAAATTGATGGTTTTACTGTTTAGGCTTTTAACAAATGGGTGACATTAAGAGGAAGAGAAGTACAGACAAAGCTATGGGTAAATCAGAGAAGGGGTAAAAAGAGGGAGGAGAAAAATGAGAAGCAGTGCCTCTGGTCTGCCACAGCTGCTGAAAAAACATACTAGAATGAGGTCAGTGTCAAATGCCTAGAGATACCTGTGGAAACCAACATGCCTCTGGATTTAGTTATAAAATGTCACGGTGACTCACATCCGACTGTTTATGTGCATGTGTTTGTATGTTTATTTTAGTTGTTATGGGTAAATCATGTCATTTCTGTAGCTTCTGGAGCTTGTCCCATAATGTCTGTGTACTGTATATGTTGAATAATACTGTCTACTGTGTGCCACCACTGGTGCTGCAGTAACTCTTAGTGTTGTACAGCTTGTTTTTTTTCCCTTTCTGTGTCTCGTAAACACAAACAGGTGTACACACCTTTCTGTGATGGTCTCTCTCAGTCCGCTAGCCACACCCTTCATCACCGTGCTGGCCTTTGGTGTCAGAACCACCTGTGAGACAAAGAACGTCCCCTTCCTCCTGCAAAAGTCAGACCAAGCATTCACGCTTTGTTTATGCTGTATTTTCCTTTCCTTTTCTTTTTTATGTGTATTTATATATATATGAAACACCTCATGTTCCCTGCTGCTGAGAGGTGCCACATATAAAAACAAACATTTCTTCACTTTAGAATAAATAACTAAGTGCCAATAATGAAACAAAAACACAGTCTGTAAGAAAAAGCATTAAAAAAAAATCAAACACACAGACAAACA